CCTCCAATAAACAGCTTTACCCAGGACCCCAAAGGCAGATTTCCAAAAGGTTCCAGAAGATGGCTTTCACAATCATGGCACCACAATGACTTGTCTGCCATTTAGTGAGCTACAGCCCTACCTTGTCCTATAAAATCTATATTCAGTCCCAGGAAAAGGCAGGTAGGGAAAGGAAAGTGGAGAAGTTTATCAATTACTCTATCTCAGTCCGTATAGTTGCTACTTCTGCATTATTGTTTTGTTTTTCTTTTTATTGAAGTAACATTAGTATAGGTTGCAGGTGTACAGTTTCTCACTTCAGCTACTGAACATATTTCTTCAAATTCATCATCAACCAGTGGGTTCCCTCGACCTCTTCCTTCCCTCTTTTTTCCTTCTGGTAACTATTATTCTGTTGTCAGTGTCTAAGAGTTTGTTTCTACTCTGCTTACTTGTTTGTTTTGGTTCTTTCCATTCCACAAATGAATGAAATTATATGGGGTTTGTCCTCTTTCTGACTTATTTCCCTGAACACACATAATGGATCCTCAAGGTCCATCTATGTTGTCAAAAACAGCAAGATTTCATCATTTTTAAATGACTGAGTAGTATTCCATTCTATTTATATACCACATTGTCTTAATCCACTCATCTATCCTTGGACACCAGGTGGTTTCCATAGCTTGGCTATTGTAAATAGTGCAATAATTAATATAGAAGCACATATATCTTTTTGAATTCATGCTTTCATAGTTTTTGAGTAAATACCTAGAAGTGGGGTTACAGAGTCATATGGTGGTTCTATTTTTAATTTTTTGAGGCACCTCCATCCTGTTTTCCATAGTGGCTGCACCAATTTACATTCCCATCAATAGTACATCCAGGTTCCTCCTTCTCCATATCCTTGCCAACACTTGCTACTTAATGACTTTTTGATAACAGGCATTCTAACTGTGTGAAGTGAAATCTCATTGTAGTTTTGATTTGCATTTCCCTAATGATAAACAATGTAGAACATCTTTTTGTGTCTGTTGGTCACCTGTATGTCTTCTTTGTGAAATGCTAATTTAGATCCTCTGCCTAATTTTTAATCATGTTGGTTTTCCTGTTGTTGTTGCTGAGTTGCATGAATTGTTTATTTAGGATATTAACCCATTATCTGATATATGGTTTGATATATTATTTTTCTGTGCAGAAACTTTTTAGTTTAATGTATTTCCATGTATTGGTGGACTCTTTTGTTTCACTTGCTGCTGGAGACAAATCCACAAAGACATCACTAAAACCATTATCAAGAAACTAATCACCTGTTTTATTCCATGCATTTTATGGTCTCAGGACTTACATTCAAGATTTTAATACATTTTTAATTGATTTTGGCAATACATTTAGAATTAGTAATCCATTTAGAATGGATAGGGTATAAGACAGAGGTCTAGTTTCATTCTTTTGCATGTGGCTGTCAAGTATTCCCAGCAGCATTTTTCAAAGAGACTTTCCTTTCTTCATGGTTTGCTCTTAGCCCTCTGTCATAAATTAGTTGTCCATATATGTATGGACATATATGGTTTTATTTTTGGGTTCTTGAACTATTCCATTGATCTGTGTTCCTGGGTTTTTTTTTTTCCATACCATAGTTTTGATTACTATAGCTATGTAGTATAATTGAATTTAGGGCGCATGATACCTCTGTTTTTGTCCTCATGATTGTTTTGGATATTTGAGATATTTTTGTAGTTTCGCACAAATCTTAGGATATTTTGTTCTATTTCTCTGAAGAATGCCATTTGGATCTGAATAAAGGTTGAATTGAATCTATATATTGCTTTAAGTAAAATGACCATGTTGACATGTTAATTCTTCTGATGCATTAAGTACAGTATGTCTTTCCTTTTCTTTGTGCCATCTTTAATTTCTTTCAACAGTGTCCAAGCCCTTCATTTCCTTTATTAAATGTTTTATTCCTAAGTATTGTATTCTTTTTGCTGTGATCTCAAATGGTATTGTTTTCATCAGTTCTCTTTCTGCTGTTTCATTGTTTGTGTATAGAAACACAACAGATTTTTGCACATTTATTTTGTAGCCTACAAATTTACTGTTTGTTCATTATTTCTAACAGTTTTTTGGTGGAGTCCCTGGAGCTTCCTACATATAATATCATGTCGTCTGCATATAATGACAGTTTTACTTCTTTTTTTCATTCTGGATACTTTTTGTTTCTTTTTCTTGCCTAATTGCTCTGGCCAGGACTTCCAATACTATATTAAATAACAGTGGTAATATTTCTATTTACTTCTTACTAGCTAGTCTCTCATCACTGCAATCATTGGTAATAGTTAATAATTCTGTAGATTAATTTTTCCTGTTCCTGTTACTGTGTGGTTTCCATATTCAGACTGGGTACTGACTGATATACACCTCCTCAGATATTTTAAATTGACAGCTAAAATTTCTTATAAACAATTTAAATAACTGCAAAAGATGGACTTTTTGGTATTCTGTATATGGATTACACACTTAAAATATATTTTATCAAAATCTTAGAACTATATATTTAGATCAATTAATGAATGGAGATACTACCAGATAATCTAATTTACAAAGCCACTCCTCACTATTATACCTATCCACCAAATCAAACTTATTCTCTATGCCAAAAAAAAAAAAGACTTTCATTTTTTAGATCTGAACACATATGTTGATACTTATTGTCATGATGACTATCACACTTAAGTAAACTGGTAGAAAACAGATAGAGAAGCAACAGGCAGAAAAATATACATAAGCAGATAGTAGACAGGCAGACTGAAGCTTGCCACAATGAAATACTATTTCAGTTTTGTTCCAGTTCTTTATTTTTTAGTATTTTTTTGGCCTAGCTTTTATGAGACTTTCCTTCAGAAGTAATACATTCCTGAGATGTCATTTTGTTTAATACCTTAGAGATATTATTCTGGGGAAGAAATCATAGTAAAATTTGGGATGGGAGAAAGGTATGGCATCTTTTGTGAAGTGAAAGAAGGGCAATTATGATTATAATAGAAAAGATGGAAGGAAGAAGTGGCCAACTACAGACTCTTTGACACATCAGTTTTAGAAAGTAAACATATAACTTGAGAACCATAAAACTGATTTCCTCAAAATTGTCAATGCCCTGTGGCTCCTGGAAAGTCTTTGTGGACACCCAGGATACAAGTTCTTCAGATAAAGACCGAGCACTGGACCACTGAACTACTGTGTTCTACAATGATGGCTACAGCAGGGATATTTTTCCCCTAAAATCGACAAGAAACCAAGTAAAGAGAGGCAAACAATTGAAAAAGAGAGGCTTTCCTTACAAGAATGCTAAAAGTATTAGAGGTAATATTACAATCAAATGTAAAACTCCCTAATCTCCACGAGTACCCATGTCTGGATAAGTCATGATATTATTAACAAGTATTATCACATAGTTAAATCCTTCATTTACAGTGGTTCTGTTTCTTATTTAAAACAAATTTTCCTTAGACTCACTGCTTCACTGAATCACATGATAGGGAAAGAGATGGAGAATCTTAAAAAACAAAGAGGACGTGGCCAATTTTTACCATTTTTTATATTAACAAGTTTAACATGGCTCAGCACTATCTTAAAGTGTTATATCAACTATTATGACACAAGCTAAAGGTGTTGATATATAAAGATGTGGGTTTTTCTGAGAGGAAATGGTGACAATTTGAAGGACTGGTTTTTTAACATGAAAAATCAATATGTAAGAATTCAGAACAGACCCCAACCAAGGCTAATGTTTAATAAGGTTTATGCAAGTTAAGAAAGGTTTTAAACTTTTTTAAAAAATTTGTTCAAGGAAACTACTGTTTCCTGTTATTTCTGGGAAATCTGTAAATGGTCTTGTTTTAAAAGGGAAACATTTATGGAAAGATATTAAGTGTGTTTTACATGCTACAAGTATCAGATTCTTTTTTGTTCATAACCCTAGGAAATTTGTAATTCTGTTTTAAATAAGTTATATATATATTCTCAATTAAGCTTTGTCTTTTTATTCCCCCAAATTAGCAACTTCATGAGAAATATTGGTAGAAGGTTTCTAGGATTTTCTCAACCCAGATCAATTTTTGGTAAAGATTTCCTTTCTTGGGCCTCCCCGGTGGCACAGCGGTTGAGTCCTGGGTTGCGAAGCTGCCCACAGCCTCTGCAGCACCGGTTCGATCCCCAGCTGCTCCCCGGCCACCGGAGGAGGGTCCCACATGGTGCGCAGACCTCTCCTGCCGCCCGCTGCTCCCCTCAGCAGTGTACTTCAGTCCTTCTGCCTGCTCTGCTCCCCACTCTGGCTCTGGTGAATTCTCTCACCCTCCCGCGCTTCTGACTGTACCCAGTGCTTGTATAAATAAATAAAAATAAATCTTTAAAAAAAAAAAAAGATTTCCTTTCTTGCATAAGATGCATAATCTCCAGAATACATTGTCTAACTATTTTCCTGGAAAAGTCTATGTACTACCATTTTATAGTAAACTATTGACTAGAATCTTTAAAAAATATATTAGGTAATTTGCTCACAAATGTATGACATCTGTCATAATTTCCAAGTTATTCTCAATATAGGTATTGCCCTTTGATGCAAAAGTACTAAAAATCTACTGTGGATACTATTCAATCTGATGGATATACATGAAGAGTTATGGCCTAATAAATAAATAAATTTATGACATTTGCTTTATATAAAAACCAATAAATACATTTCTATACTCATCAAAATCTCTTTCATAACTGTTAAGCTCCCTGGCTATTGAGATGAACATGTTAATATTGGTATTTTAAAGATCCAAATAGTGAAAAATTAGGCAGTATATCACACTGGTAATTTACCATGAAAGTCAGCAATGACTTCTTTTGGAGGGCTGGGAATGAAAGTAACAGGAGTAAAAAATTTTAGTGATGGTGAGATGCTAATATGAACAAGCAATAACTAGTGTGTTGCCATCTGTGATAGTCCTGTAGTCACAGGTTTTTTAAATACTTACTTGAACAATGGAGTGTCACAAACAACACATTTATATATTCCAGGATCTTTGTGATGTGTATATTCTCCTTCAAAGGCACTGATAGACAATAAACAAAAGAATGAATTAACGTTAGCATTATTTTTTATAGAACATATTTGGTTAAAATATATTTCTTTAATAAATATTTTAAGGGTTTTGGTCCTAAAATGAGAACAGACCAAGCATATGGAAATTTGAACATACTAATATATTTCCAATCTATATAATAAAATGTGCATATAACTACTCCAAACTAGTGCATGTTAAATAAAAAAAAAAAATGTGGCCATCTAGTTATGTAATGCTTAGAGAAAAAATTGCTCCTATTTAAAAAAAAAACAAACCTGTAGTTCAGATTTACAGAAAAGCATTATTACATAAGATTTCTGCTACTCTACAGTGTCCAAGAGTGTATACCAGAAAATGCACAATGGTCCAAGACTTCAAGTGGAAGGAGTCTTATTTTTTGGTTTGAAAAGGAATATTGCAGCTTTAAGGGAATATTTTTCTAAGTTAACAATCTTAAAGGCTAGGAGGTCATTCAGCTAATACAAATCAGCTGTGCTAGCCCAACAAAAAGTCTATGTGCTCTGCAGCTTGTTTTTATTATCCTTTCACCCTCTTTATGAGGTCCAATTTTTTTATAAACAGAATTTTTAAGAATGACCTAATCTCTAGTTGTTTGTGTGCATTAAATCATTTGGCTAGTCATATACACAACAGTATGGGTAGAAGTCATCCTGGGCTGAGGCTGAAGCCCACCACTAACTCATTGTGTGGTGAGGGTGGACTTTGTCAGAGATTCAACATTTGGTAAATTGAGTAAACAGTATATACGATGACAGGAAGAGAGTGTTGCCTATTAACAAGGACCCCATGCGTGGTAAAGAGCTCTTTCAGTTCATGAATGAAAACAAGAAGTTACATCATTAATAAATTTGGATCAGAGTTAAGTTACGGCCTTATGCCAAGCTCCTTGGTATAAATTAGACAACAAAATGGTTGGACCTTGGCAAGTTACCTTTGAGCTGGAATCAGCTGAGAGAGATTTTATTCACTAAAAACAGTCTTGGAAGTGAACAAACTCTTTTTTTTTTTTTTCCCCAGAATTTAGGGCGAACTTCCAAGGCCCAAAAAGCCATGTGAGGGCAGTTATTGAAAATTTTTGACATTCCAACCACAAATGAGCCAATAAATACTTTCTCCACATGTGCTTCAAAAAGAAATTGGAGTGGGGTAGAAAGGAACTAAATTATGCTACCTTCTTTTTGCAGCCAAAACGTCTATACTTACAATGGCCACCTTCAAAATTTCAGCATCCTGGCACAGCGCCATGCCCCTCATGGTTTTGCTTACTGTGATGTCTTCCCAAAAAATGTACCTAAATCGCTATTACTTCCACACATTTTGTAGTAAACTAAAAACAGGCCTTAACAAAAGCCTTGTGACTGTACATAAGATAGTGTTCATTAAATGGGGGGAAGAATAAATAAAACTTCCTCTTAACCTAAACATTACCATTTTCAAGAATACTACTTTGCAGACTTTAGCAAACAGTGTGTAGAATTCTTTAAATTAAATGTCAAGGAAGAGGACCCAAAAAGGTGGAGTGGGAGGTGATGAAGAAAACTCTTGCTTAATGACTTTTCTTACGATTCACCTTACCTTTCCGTCCCTTTCTCCTGAGTGACATGGTACTGCAGGGGTGTTAGCCGCTTCCTCAGTTCCTGCTGGGAAAAGACCACCTTACAGTTCTTTTTATCCCTACATGACCCTGGAAAGAGAGAGGATAAGGGAGAAGAAGGCTTTTTAGCTTGAATCCTAAATAATTGCTTTGGCTGGCTGCCACAGCACAGCTTCTGCAGTCACTTGTCAATGACCAGATCAGTCCCTAATGCAGTAGACAAACCTACCTGAATTGCAGTCGCTTGCTTCTTTCTCTAGGACTAGAAAGAATGTTTCTCAGGATTCAAGTGATTCCATTGGAGCACTGAAATGCACTGCAGCCAAAGCTGTGTGCCATGTAATTGTAAAATACACATCATCCTGTCTGCTTCCTAATACCTTGAAACTCTTTTTTTCAAAGGCATTCAGAAAAACACAACTCTAGTCACAAGCATTTACACTGTATGTATAAGATGATGGGCACATTATGTTAAACAATAAATCTCCATTCAACAATTCTGCAATTGAGTAGAATAGCTTAAAACCTTCATCATTCAATTTCTGGTTTGTGTGATTTAACTACCATCTGCTTTATTTAATTTTGAATCCTAAAGATGTATTTTTCCATGACTAGGAATTCCTGTTCTCGGTGATTCTGTTAGACACTTCACTGGATTCTGTAGAGGCCTTAAAAACAAATGTCTCTTTAAAGATGGTCATTTACCATGTTAAACAAGCAGCAAAAATACTTTTAATGGATTCCAGGAGAAAGCATTTACACTAATGCAGATTCAAGAAGTCCAAAAATGGGTGAGAAAAATAGGGAGGGGGATGACAAAGAGAAGAGGAAAAGTGAATGTAATTTTATTTAGGGACTATATTTCTTTTTTGCAAAGTATTTCTAGGAAGGTTTCACTGATTAAGTGTATGTGGATGGTGAAATAATTTTAATGTGATTCTAATAACAATGGCAGCTTTTATTTCAACCTATACAGACTGTAAGGAAATTTTCAGACAACACCTGTTTATATGTAGTACTTTATTTTATCTGCACAAATGACTGAAAAAGAAATGTAACTCTTACACAGGGCAACCTTACTCACTGCAGTGAAAGTGTTTTTCTCTACCATTCATCACAGTGGGAGAGGACTGAAGATGCCCCTACATGCAATAATGTCTTATGGTTGCTTAGTTTCCTAAATAATAAACTCAACTGCTTTTAAAATATAAGGAAATATGATTTAAGAGTAGAAAAGCTTAATTTTTGAGGTACCTAATGTCACAGTATGTAAGTTCACTAAAATTAGTGTAGAAGAAAATTAATCACTGATCCTGATTATGGGATTGAAGGAGCTTAGTTAGCTTCCAGAATACAGGCCACCAACACAGAGTAGTTAATTCTCTCAAAAAAAATATGGAGGAGGGAAAAGAGCAAACTAGAGTCCAACAGAAAGGTGTACCTTGGAGTAGGCCTGTGGGTTGTCAAGGAGCACCTCCTCTGACCTTCTACAGAGTATGCCGGCCCTGCATTGGCCTGGAAAGAGCCCACAGGAACAGCTGGCATAGCAGTGAAAGATGTTGGCCTCTCATCCCACTGGGCCCCATATTATACAAGGATTATCCAAATACCTACGACTTACATTTTTAATATTTTCCAAGGGGGAGATAGAAATGTTTCATTGAGAAATGTCTGTCCTGTCAGAACAAGCCTTTCTACAACCTGAATGCAAAACTGCCCTTTTTTAAATAATCAGCTGTGATAGGCAAATTTCCACCCAATTGACTGTGGACTTCTTGAATGTTATCTTTTGTTTTTATTTCTTTATTTGTTGGAAGGGTTATATCTTTGTTGATTTTTGCCCAAGAAATCTATCAATCACCAATTTAACACAACAAAATATCTTGGTTAAACTTATTCCTTCCAATGGGCTGGGTAATTAAAATCTTCACAATTAGAATTAAATAATTCTATACAAAATATTTTTGTTCATATATGTTCATTCATACAAAAAGACCAATTGTGTTCCCAAAGTTGAGAAAACTAAGCTACCCATCTGTATGTCATTTAGTACAAGAGAAGCAACTGCAGGTTTAAATTACATGGTATTGGATTGCAATTTCCTAACATTGGATGCTTTTCTGCTTTTTTACCTTGAGTCATTTACTAAGGAGTGTTCATAAAAAGTAGCTTAAAGCACAGATGCTTGAAAATCGTTTAGGCAAAGATGTTTCTCTCTTTTTCATTCTCCCTCTCTCAAAAATCTTTTTTCTGAAGAAAAAGAATAAAACTGTTGGTCAGTATTGACGAACCATGTCAAGTATTTGTACAAGAAAAAAAAGGTAAAATTGAAAACATCTGATTGAAGTAAATAATACAAACATAAAAGCTTTACTGGTGAATGAAGGGTATTGAAGAGACTTTATTTCATAGATTAGAAATTACTTTTGATCTAAACATTCTTAAAAACAGATTGTTTTCCACTATGAGCCATCTCATTAACTGTGCTACAGAGACCTCATCCTAATGGCAAGCTTTGAAAGAGTGCTGCTGTACTCTTTTGTTAGTCCCCGTCTTATTTGGGAGGGGGATAAAGATTTCATTCCAGCTTTCTTTGTTTGTCTTTCAAGAACCACTAAAGCAGTATTCACACAAATTTTGTAGGAATGTGCCCTATGTCATAGCCTACAAATTATTTGGTTTTGGTGCACTTAAAGGTCATCTTCCAAATTAGCAAAATTTTCCTACATCCTGGCTTTTCAACCTTAAATATAAATATTGTTTCCTAACTGTAAGTGAGGTTTGTTCTTTAAGAAATGCTAGTGCTTATTTAAAGTTGTCAAACTTTGTACATTTTGATTCTTTGGTCATACCATGTTCTCGAAATAATTAGGCTTTTAAAGTGTATCTAATAGCAAAAGGAAATACATGTAGACTAGAAAACAACTATTGGGATTTTACATTAACTCAATAAGAAGTTAGTCAGATTTCAATAAAATTTTTTGCCACATAATTTAATAATATACATTGTGGACAACAGAAAGCTTAACATTAGCTTTTCTAGCATCATAACCAAAAACTGGTGTATAAACAAACATAGAAAGGCTTCGTTTTTGTCTGATTTTCTTTCTCCTTATCAGACTCACTTTTCTAAAGTCATTTGGTGCCACCATTAATTTTCAAGAAATGATTTCATTTTGAAATTCTAGAATAATTCATTGGATGGTTTCTCTTTACTATCTTCACTTAGGTACTGTAATTTTCTTATTACACAGGGTAATTTAACATTAGTATTATATGACATCTGTTCAATGACCTCTAAATTGGCTTAGAAGTATGTTAGAGAAAGATTTTCCCCTGTCTTTAAATGTTTAATAGAGTACTTAGAAGGCACAAATGAGTGTGTGTGTACACATGCAACCAAGTATATTTGAGAGGGTAATATTGCCACTTTGGTATCTATTTATAACACCATTCCCTTGAATCCAACCCAAGGCGATATACCCAAAGATTTTTATATGGAGGTTTGTTCCATGCTGTTGCCACAAAGCCATTATTATCTTGAAGTTCCAGTGGCAATAGGGTATTTAGAAGGCACACATGAGCGTGTGTATAGAAATAAACTTAACAGCAAGAGTTCATATTCTGGCTTTGATTGCTTCCTACACATGTGACCTTAGTCAAGTTGGTTTCTCTGATTATATACCATAACCCTCACAAGTCTGCTATAAAGGTCACAGGAATTAGTATTCAGAAACACCATCAAAATATATGCAATATCACATTATCTTTCTGATTACAGTAAATTCTGAAGTTAAAACTATTTAAAAGGTAGGAGTTCAGGTATTCCAATATGCTGCAATATTTCATTGGTAATTTTCTATAATTTCCTCAGAACAGTATTATTCTTACAAGTTATCTTTAACAATAATAAAGAGAGAAATTGAAAGGACAAATTTTAATGACTAATTATGTGCCAGGCTGATTTCTAAGCACTTTTACATAACCACATTTTATCCTCTCAATAATCTTAGGGCAAAGATGTCATGCCCATTTTACAGATAGAGAAACAGAGGCTCAGAAAGATTATAACATAACTTACTAAAGATAAATAGCAAGTAGATATATTGACGCAAATCCAAAGCTCTCTGTCTACAAGTCTATGGTCACAATAGCTTCTGCAAGGGAAAAATTATGCTACAACTTTCTCCTCCCTTCTTAAATTACACAATAACTTTCATTATCACTAACAAGATAATAAGGGAGAAAAGCAAAAAACACCAAGGTACATCCAGAGAAGTAAATACATTTTTCTGTTGGCCAATATCTGTCTTCTCTTTGTTCATTCCGTCAACCTAAGGTCAGTGACAAGGTTCAAACAAGACTCTCACAAAGTCTATAAAACGTTGAAAGGCTTTTTAACTTCCTGTTAAGAAGTAAATCAGATCTGTTACCTAAATCTTAGAGTACTTTTAAGTCATAAATCTTATATTTCAGTGTGAAAAAAATCAAAACAAAATCTAAAGATCCCATAACTTTAATTTTCATTCTAGGATCAGGAAAGAAAAAGAAACTATTAATTATTTTCCCAAGATAATAAATGAATGAGAAATGATCAGGCTATTTTGTTCAGCTTAGGGTTTACTAGGTTAAAACAGTAAAATTCATATTGAAATATCTTGCTCCTATCTTTTAAAATGGTATAAATTTTTACTAAAAATTTAAATTTTCATATGGTTATTAGTCTGTCATATTGGAAAGTTAAACATACTTTAGTAGTCTTTAGAATTTCTAAAAGTGGGCATTTTGAAAAAACATCTATTTCATTTAACAATGGTATATGAAATATATATCAGGAATGGTGTTATTGTGTATTTTTTTCCATGCTAGAAATTAATAAAGATTAAGGGGAAAAATGCAAAGCACAGGGAAGAAAAGTTCCATACCTCTAGAAGCAAACCCAATTCTATTTTTCTCTCAAAGTAGACCTATATAGAAAAAGCACTCCTGACGTTAACATCCAATCTAATATGTCATGACGCTTTTGCTTCAGTCCTCTGTTTTCCATGAAATTAGGGCTGCAGGGTTTACTTAAATTCTTACTGTTTTCT